AACGAGCACGAACAGCCTCCTAAATCAAAATCAAGAGTGCGAAGAGAAACATCCAGCTAGCTTGCCACACTTACTTGCCACACCCTAAAAAATCGTACACACCTTCATTTCGGTACTCGTCTAGCCACCTAAAGACTGCATCGCCGATGCAAGCAATAGCTTGGCAGAAAGCTGACATCCAGCAAAGCACGGTATACTTTGTTTGAGCGAGATCTGCTCTAAGTTGAGAGAGAGATAGAGAGAGAGAGAGAGAGAGAGAGAGAGAGAGAGAGAGAGAGAGAGAGAGAGAGAGTAATCTCCGTGAAATTCTATCTTTGTCAACGCAGGCCAACGGCAGCTGGTAAAGGAGTAGGGATGTCCTACATCAGCGCGCAGCCATTCAATCACACATTTCTCGCTTAGTTCGCAGCCTATCGATGCGAGACCAAGACCCCCCAACCCGCCTGATCATGGGCCGTTGTTCGGAGCTATCGTTCGCGGTCTGGGGTGCCGTGTGGCCTTCCTGGTCATGGTTTGAATCATCGCAACTGGCATGTACTGGCATAGATAGTCTATATACCAGTACTCTGGAGGACAGGCCTTGTTCGCCTCTTCCCGGGTTGATTTTTTTTTCGATTCGCCGCTTGCGCTGCTGTGTAGCTGTGTGCAATGTATTGTAGAGCCAACCCGAATTCGGAAATCAAAATCCAAATTGGATTTTGATTTTGGACGCAACTTTTTTTTTGACAGGGGGGGGGCATCTACCCTGTGTCAGCAGCACAAAACGTTTCCGGTGGGAACTGCTGTACAGACCCGTGTCTCTGCAGTGGTACACAAGACATACAAAGTGCTCGTTATTCGTCCATCGTTCTTCTGCCGGGAGAGGAGTCTATGCTCCTGTCGTGGTCATTGGCAGGTCGAATGCTACTTCATATCTGCTGCCTTTGGCCCCTCGCCTACTGCTGCTGCTGACACATGATACACGGGGTCGTGTACGCTGGAGACCATCAAACGGAGATGCACGGTTGATTGGTTTCCGACTTTGTGACTCTGCTGTAGAGAGCTATGTACCGAGGATCGACCCCCCCCACCTGGCGTGTTGGCAACGCTTGACCTCCCAAGACACGGCGGTGGGACGACCTAGGTGCCGGCACTGTCGAAGAGGCGGCCTGCTTCCATTGGGCCATGATGCTGTCGTACACCCGGCTGCGGCGTGCGCTGCTGCCACTGCCGCTGCTGCTGTTAGCGTCAACATCGGCAAGTGGCCACGGCGGTTGCTTGGAAATTCCGCCGCCGCTGCTGCTGCGTCTCTCTCCTGGTTGGAAGCCGGGTTGCTTCCCACGATTGGACGAGCGCCCTACGGCCCCATCGCCACTGTGGTACTCGCTCATGCAATGGTGACGGTGGTGGTGATTATGTCGTCTCAGCAGCAGTGCCGGGTGTCTTGGTGTCTTCGTGGATCTCACACAATTGGTGTATCCTGTCACGGTGCACCTTCACCCTACCCCCTCATTTTGTCATTTTCTGGAATGGCGCGGGGGGGGGGCAGGGTGATAGAGGCTCCGTGATGGGGGTCGAGAATTCGGCAGACACATTTCAGCATCAGCAGCACCAAACGCTGCACGCGACGGCAGCAGCTAGGCGACCTAGACAGGTGAGGACGGCGTGCAATAGTACTGAGACTTTCTTTCAGTGTCTCCACTTGGTGCAACGAAGGAACACTTGGCTTTCGCGAAGTGATGGCAACCAACGAGATCCTCGGAGTTTGATGTTCCCTCTGGCAGAGCCGGAGGTTGCGTGCACAACAACCTTATCTGTACCCTCACCACTGCTGTCGTGCACTGCGCGGTTGATTGTTGAACAATTGCATGTTGTTGTGGATTGCGTTGGTCCGGTGAGAAGGCGCGTTTGCTCTGGTTTGCATCTCCCGCGCGTGCAGCACGCCGAAAGCTCGTTCGCCTTTTTCTGTCCAGCACTGCTGTGTTGGGCATCTTTGCGCCCACTTCTCGATGGAAAACCTGCCTCGCAATCGAGTGTCTTTGTCATCCAGCGTGTGTAGGCTTCAAAACTTCGGCCGGCTTCCCCAAGCGACCCGCCACTTCTTTTTGACGATGCATCTCGTGCAACGCTGGTGGGATCTCGCTGCTATGGGATTGGTTGCAAGTCGGTTGCTCGTTTTGTGTTTGAGAGACTCTTCAGTACACAGGGGGTTGGGATACGCCGCATCTGAATCTCCAAAAACGCCCTGTGTTGTAGCTTTCTGCCTTTCACCGCGATCAGGCAATCGCCGGCATACACATCCCTGTGCAAGCAGGAGCACGATGGTTCTACTGGGTGCACCTTGGGTTACGTTTGTGAAAGGCGCAAGTACGTGTAGTACATTTTGGGCCTAAGTGATGGACACCAAATCTCCTTTTTGCGGGTGCCCCAAGCGTCCTTCTTGTATCAACTGCCGTGCTTCGTTGCCGGAAGGATGTCCAATCGACACGCCCCCCTCCCCTTCGCACGTGATCACTCTGTGTGATCTGCACCAGCAGTTACGGCAGAGAAGACTAGTAGAGCAGCGGAGAAGACACACTCAGGCAGGGGAGCCGAGCAATAAGTTACCAATCAACCGCCAATCCTCGCCGGAGCGGTAGATAGGACTACAAGTGGGCCACCGGAACGACACCAGGAAACCGACAAGCAAGCGAAAACATGGCAGACAAGAAGAAGGCGGTGTCAATCATGGTGCCCTCCAAGGATCCCAAGAACAAGGGCGGCGACGACAAGGACGACGGCGACAAGAAGAAGGAGGGGGGGGTCACCACCACCTTGGATGGGGTTGGCGGTGACGGCGGGAAGAAGAAAAAGAAGACGGCGAAGGCAGGAACCAAGGGCGTCCTGGAGCCCGAGGAGCTCAGCGAGGAGGACAAGGCCCTGAAGGATGGCCTGGAGCTAGCGGTCACGCGGGTGGACGACAAAGAGCCCGGGATAGGTGAGTCTGGTACATATGAGGGTGGAAGACGACCAAAGTCGATGGCTACAGCAGTATTTATTGTGGTGGGGTGTTTCGAGTGCGGAGATTTTCTTTAGTAGTGTTGGTCCCCTTTCAGCCCGTGTGCTACATGTTGTATTGTACCCTATTTCGGTATTTTTCCTGTCGCAATCGGAGCCTGCCCGAAGGTTGGCACGCAACAGCGGGCTTTCGTTTTGCTCCTGTTGCCCTCGATAGGATGGGCACGCTAGTGCCGTCCGTAGCACAAGATGATATGTCACACACAATCACGTTGGTTTCTCGATGTCTCGCTCAGAGTAGGTGGAGGCAACCGGTAGTGCACGTGGTAAAGTTAACTCTGGATCGATCTCCGCTAACCGGCTTCATTTGGACATTATTTTGCTTGGTCTCGGGGTGTCCCCCCTGCTCTGTTTCAAGGCAGATTTTTTAGGGAAAGTATGCCTTGCAGGAACGGTTGCGGCGTGTTCCGCCATCCACGATACCTGTTCATTGTGCTGTCCTGATACAGCAGGTGTCGTTGACAAAGAAAGCATGTTGGTTGCCCTCCCGGATTCGACGTGCTTACCAAGCAACCTAAAACGCTCGTCAGAAACACTCGTTGGTGCTCTTCTCGTTCCACCCCCGAGTGTCAACCGCACTGACACCCATCTCAACGCGCGTGCCCCGCCCCACCCTCCCTGCGGGTGTTGTTTTTTCCTGCTGCTGCGCTGTGCCGATTGTTGCCGCTTCCCACCCTTCTTATTTCTCTTTGTAAATTGTGACGCCATGCAAAATGGGGGCACGGATGGATGGCTGGCGGTGTCGCGTGGTTGTGCATGCGAGCAGTCCGCAACGCTCTGAGGCACCTCTCGTCGGAGATCCGCTCGGCGACGACGAGCATGACCAGCGTGCCCAAGCCGCTCAAGTTCCTCCGCCCGCACTATGCGCAGCTGAAGAAATGTGAGACTAAGACTCGGGTCTGGACGTCGGGATTGGAGCCTGTGTGCCGTTGTGTACTGCTGTGCGTCGGTTTGTGGAAGGTCACCCCTTTCGAGACGCTATGATATTAATAGGTTTTCGGGTTTCTTGTTTGGTCTCTCTCGCCCTGCTCGTGCGACGCTGTCGTTGTGATGTACTCGGATCACTTCGTTCGCGCCAATTATTTCCCAAAACCTCGTTCTTTTTTGTTTCAATCCTTCCCGACTTGCAAGGCTACATTTATACAAGGGCAGTGGACGCGGGGGGCTACCCTCCCCCCCCCCCCGGCCTCGGTTTGAGAGTGGATGTGCATACGAAACGGTATATGTGAGGTAGCGGTTGCAGGCTTCAAACGCAGTACCCAGTCAGACGACGGTGGTTCGTTCAGGTGGTGGTGTACAGCAGGAGAAAAGAACGATAGATGCAGGTTCGAAGTCGGGAGAAGAGTGCGTCATCATATTCCTTACGCACTTTCCTCACTTCCCTGAAACTGTAAGTGTTGAACATAGGAGGTATCGTTGCCGCACGCATGTATGTGTGTGAACCTGTATTGTGTGCCAGTGTGGCTTGTACCATATCTATAGCCGTGAGACTACAGCAACATCAGCAGTATACATGTGCGCACACACACCGTCGTCCTCCCCAGAGCAGAGAGCCCCAGCAGAACATGAGCGAGATGTGCTCCGACAGCCAGCTTTTTTGTCAGATTTCCGCAGGTTGCCGTTCTCATTCTCGGAAGACGCTTGCGCGCACGCACACACGTCCAGATGCGGCGTTATAGCAGTGATAGCAGTTGACGTCCACAAAACACACCATGACTTCATGCTTATGCACCATCGCCGAAGTGCACAAAAGGCAGGCACATGAGGATGTATGTCTTACATTTAGCTAGATACCTGCTAGATACACGTTCCGCAACACATCACTTCAAGTTCTCAGAAACGCGGCAGGAAAAATAAAGAACCATGAGCAGATGAAATTTAGCCCGTGTCGGCCAATCACAGTCCCGCGCGAAGTGGTCAGAGGGGCAGATGCAGGTGCGAACAGGTCGTGTGGAGCGGTTTCGACGGCACTGGCAGCCCGGCCGGCGCTCAGCGCTCGTGGCCCGAGGCGGCGAGGTCTTGCGGAGAGAGGGCCTCCCGCGGGCCCCGCGAAGCGATGGACCGAACGGCACCCGTTGGGGAGCCAGCCGCGCTCTTGAGTTATCTTGTCGATTTGAGAGTAGGACTTTTCCCCCCGCTTCGCTGTGAGCGGCCGGTGGAAGGCCGCAGGGCGCGAGTTGAGCTTTAGCTAAAGTTCCCTACCTCTGCATCCTCGCCCTCGATGATCGTTTTCAGCTGATCCCCCCCCCCCCCCCCCCCCTTGTTTCTTCTTCCCGTCCTGGAACGCAACCAACCGCTTGGTGAATGAATCGACAACACACACAGCCTACGAGAGCTGGCCGGCCGCCACCGGTCCGCAGCCGGTGGCCACCCCGCTGGTGAAACAGCCGGCGGCCGCGGCGACCGCGGGTGCTGGCGCGGAAGAGAAGATGGTGGAGGTCGAGCAGGAAGAGGGAGAGGCGACGCCCGAGGGCAACAAGCGCGCATTGGCGGATATCTTGTCGGTGAGATGGTGGCAGATGGTGGCAGATGGTGGCAGATGGACGGACGGGCGCGCTTCTCAGCTTCGTCTTTTTTTTTGTTCAAGGGGATAATCAAGAGGAGGAGTTGTCTAGACAGATGTATTCGCCCGGCCCCTGTTTTTGCATGCCGACGAAAATCATCGAGTTGCGTGTTTTCTATGTGTCTACGAACAGCGGGAGGGAGTGTAAATGTGTGTGCATGTTTCCTCACATTGGCCGGGCGGCGGGCATAGAACAGGCAGGGTATGATTTACTCGTGGTGTTAGGGGTGCACACATGAGCAACAGCAAGCTGGCTTGGTTGTCAACATTTGTCCGTTAGAGGAGAATGTTAACCATTTTTCGGAAAACAACGAAACGAATGCACGAGAACACGCCGCTCAGTTTTTGGGTGAAGAAGAGGGGGGAGGGGGGAGTCGTGCATGCCGTAGTCGTTAGACCATTGACGTCGCATCCCTACAAAGCCGGGACGGAGCACGCCGGGTTCTCACCGGACCAAGCACTAGGGGGGAGGGGGGGGGGGCAGAACAGAGGTGATTCGATTGAAATCGGAGCTCGCCTTCACCGACCACCCATACGTTCGGCTCTTTTTGTCAGGTGTTGGCCATGACGATGGCAGACCCCGGCAGTCGGGTCAGCCTAAAGTACAAGCTCGTGGGGACCAAGGGGGACCTAGGCCGCTGGGGGCACGAGTTCCTCCGCTCCCTCGCCGGGGAGATCGGGCAGGAGTACTCGGCGAGGCGGATAGGCGCCGTCAAGGAAGGCGCGGACGGGGAAGGGGACGAGGCGATGGCGGATGCGGCCGGGGGGGGGGACGCGGACGTTTCAGACCTGATGGCGCTGGTGGACGACATCGTGCCGTTTCACCTGCAGCACAACGCGGAGGCGGAGGCGGTGGACCTCCTGGTCGAAGTGCAGGTGTGAGGCCGCTGTCGTTTGTTTGAAAGTTGTTGGTTGTGGCCGGTGTGTTGGTGTCGTCGTTGTTGTGCTTGTTGTGTATTGTTGTTGTGTTGTTGTAGGCGTCGTTGGCTGTCTTCGGTTCCTGATACACACGCTCAAACCGCTGCCCCGAACGGTTCTTCCATCGCATCGAAACATTGGGTAGCGAAGCGCTCGCTCTTGGTACGCACACGTACGCCGCAGAACAGCGTACCGCCGGTAACGCCAAGATCAATCAAGCCCCGCAATACCAAAGCGACCTCAGAGAACAGAGACAAGTGACGAAAATGTATTAACGGGGGAGAGACAGCAATACAACCAGAGTATTCGAAACGATTTTGCGACAGAGGTGTACGAACGAAGGGGGATAGCAGGGCCCTGGCCTGTTTGGTTTATCTAGAGGATGAAAGGGTTTCGAACGAGGGTGCCAGAAATGGGGAGGTTGTCCGCACCTTCGAAGGGAAAATACCGTTCTAGACGAGGTGATTTCTGCTGATTTACTTGTAGCCCCTCCTAATACGTGATTTTCTGCCGAGTGTATGTATGTCACGGGTAGGGAAGGGGTGTTTTGAGCCCCTCGCCCTCTTGGTGGAAGTGCCCGACGCCGCTTGCCTGGTGTTTGATGTATGCGTGCTGACTTGAGAGTCCTGCTCTGTCGCAACTCCCTTTTAGTTTTGGTAGTAACGCCAGCACGAAAACCGCGCCCTATTAGTCTGATCCACCGCAAGAACAGTAAAATAGTACGGTGACTTTTTATCCCGGTGACATTGAGACCACGATGGATGCGTGGCAGGGTGTGGAGTGATGCTGTCCTATGGCGTTTTTGAGCTGGGCGCAGGAGTCCTCAGCACTTGTTTAAATCACCGGGCAGTTCCCTTCGGGACGAAGTGAGCAATGCGTGTCTATGTATTCGTTCCTCTCTCTCTCCCTGTCTCAGGTTTGTCACAGCCTGTCTTCTCACTCTTGTCTGTCTGTTTGTCTGCCTACCTGTGCCTCTGTCCATGCCTCTCGCCCTGCCCCCCCTCCCCCTCCTCTCGCTCACTCTCCGTGCATGCGCAGCGCTTGAAAAAGCTGCTGGACCTGCCGTATGTAGACGACAAGAACTACGAGCGCGTGTGCCTTTACCTGCTGAGGATGGCGGACTACATGTCGGACCCAGACGACCTGATGGTGAGGGCGGGAGGGGTTGATTAGGTTCTCGAGCTGTAGATAACATCGTTGCCGTCGTTACTGCTGTCCATGATGGTCATGTTGAGCTGTTGATAGCATCTTGCGAAGGAAATTGCTGCGGCTATTGTCAATACAGTACTCGCTTTCGGTGGAAGCACTGGTCCTCCACGCTCTGGTGGGCGGTCGAGGGCATGGGACCCACATGTTGGGTAGAAGGAAGAGAGTCGACACACCACGTGCTGCTGTCGCCGTGTAGTGTAGGCACACTCGCAAAAGGAGAGCGTGAGGTGTGCCGTGAGGTGTGAGGCGGAGGTTTGTGTCGCTGGCTTCGGACTTCGGTTGGGACGAGCCACTTCTACGTACGCTGTCACCATGAGTTTGGTCTGTCTTGGATGGTAGGCCGCTGCTGTCTGTACTAAGGAAGACGAGATAGCGCATGCGGATGAACGATATTAACTTGCCTTACCTTGGCGACTTTTGAGCCTTTGTCACTTGAGTAGTGGAGATGATAATCTTGACCCACCTCTGTCTGGAAACATGTCCTGTAAACGTTCATGTCGATGTGTGAATGTTGGTTCCCCACGCCGATGGTAACTGCAGCGTACCGATATCCATAATTCAGAATGTTCTGGACCGTGCAAGAATAGCCGCCCCCGCCACCCCCCCATCAAAATATCTCCCTCAACCCACCTTCTCAATCGCCCAACCGACGCGTCCGGCGCCATTCAGCCTTTCCTGATGCCGCCCCCCTCCGCCCCGTCATTGAAACCCGCCAATACCACGCACGACAACAGGAAATGATGACAACCGCGTTCGAGCTGTACCGCATGCGGGGCAAGTACTGCGACGCGGTTCGGGTGGCTTTGAGGATGGACGACAGCGACCTCCTGGCGCAGCTGCTAGCCGAGTGCGAAGACAAGGGCATGACGCAGCAGATGAGGTGTGTAGGTCAAGGTCGGCTTGCCGTAAGTTTGTGTCCGAAGCCCCCAGCTAGTTGGTGGGGGGTGGAGGAGAAGGGCATGTTTGGGTTTCTCGTGCCTGTGATTCTGCTTGTCGGCGTTTGTTTGGACGTGTGCTCGTTCTCTGTTCTCGTGTCTATTTTTTACATGGGTTTGAGCGTGGTGCTGCTGTAACTCCTCGCGTGGTTGACAGCAACGCACTTGCTTCCCCCTCCTTCCGTTTTTCTTTTTGATTTGCATGCTTATTTTTTTTGCGTGCTAACGAAAGCATGAATATTTTCCACTTTGTCGCGAAGTTGGTTAATTTCGTCGCGATTTTTACCTCGCTTTTGCGTTTTTTTCTTTTTGAGCCGTGATTCGTTGTCCAAAGAAAGGGCAATTCGTACAGGGTGTGGCCCTCATGCCAGCCCGCTTGGGGTCCAAAGCACAGCTGTCGTCTTTGAGATGTGGACACCTAGCCTGTGGTTTCGGCCGACTTGCCAAACAGGGACTATACTTTCCCCTGCTTCGTCGTCAACGCTTGGGCATTTCGCCAATTGATTGTCTCCTCAATCCCGCGGTGTCCGTTGCTGTTCCTCTTGTCTCCGGTGTTCCTGAGCACATCCGTGCTGTGTTGGATCGATGTCTGTCTTGTCGGAGAGATGGCACCCCCGTGTTTGCGTTGTTTTTTTTTTTATTGCGTATGTATTATTATATATCCACAACCAAGGGGGTACCGCCGCCGAAAAGGGTAGTTTTGGAAACATCTCGTCGAGGGCTTTCCTGAGAGGTATCGGTTGGTGTTCGCACCCTCCTAGTTGCGGAGAAACACGCTTTTAAAAAAAAATCGCGAATCGCGAACACGGAGGTGCCATCTCTCCGACTCTCATTTTTCTTTGCTGTCGTTTTACCTTCCCAACGTCTCACCGAATTGTCTCTCCAATCCCGCAACTTTGTTTCCGCTTCATTTCATCCGTGCGCTCTGTTAAATCATTTTTTTTTTTGTTAGATCTTAACCTTCCCAGCCACCCCCGCGATATCATTTGCTCTTCCTTTGTGTCCCCTTTGTTCTTGGTTACGCCCGTGCTGTGTTGGATGCGTGTTGTGTTGTCGTCTTGACCTTCCCAGCTTCATCATGGCGCGCCACCGTGCTTCCTACGAGCACCCCGACGACGACGACGTGAACGAGATCATCGGGAACGGCAGCCTGTCGGAGCACTACCTCGCCCTCGCCAGAGACCTTGACGTCATGGAGGCTAAGGTTTGTCTGTCGTTGTGATTTTCGGGGTAGTGTTGTTGTTGTTGTTGTTGTTGATACGAACATGAGCAGTGGTAGCCCCATGTTTGACGCCAGTGGTAGCGTTTGCTGCGTGCGCTTTCATTGACGAGAAGTTAAGACTGTCGAGGCATCAGCGTACCCATGTCTGTTCCACAGAGCATGACGCGGTCAATCGCAAACCGACCTCTGGTTGGCTGCATTCTCGTCCCCCCCAACTCACGCACACCCCTGCACAACAGGCAGCAATACAGCATGGCATCCACCTCTGTTTGCGTGACCGTTTCCCCCCAACTCGAGCACCTCTGCACAATAGGCAACCATAAAGTATGGCATCCACCCTCTCTCACGGTATTGCTCGTCTTGCGCGCGATGATCTCGCGGGAACCGGACACCCCGCTCTGTGCGGAAACGCAGACTCCGGAGGACATCTACAAGAGCCACCTCGCAGAGTCAGGAGGTGTGTCTCGGCGGAGGGATGGGGGGGCACAGCAGGTGGATTCCGCCCGGGCTAACCTGGCGTCCACGTTCGTGAACGCCTTCGTCAACGCCGGATACGGTCAGGACCAGGTCGGTGGTCCTTAATCTTAACGCAACGAATGCATCTCTATCCAACGGTAGGAGTTTTTCTCATGTTTTTTGTGTGTTTTGTATCTTATTGCAGTGATTGTCCTTGGGTTGTGGTACCTACGTTGGCTGCTGGCTTTTAGGTACTCGCTGAACTGCGTAGGTTGCGCAATGTTGAGAAATGATGCCTTGTCTAGCAATCCAAGGTCCTGCAAGGTGGAGCCGGTTTTGAGTGAAAAGTTGAGGAGAGCGTGTGGACAGTGTTTTTTTGTTTGCAGCCGCGGAGAAGGAAGACCGGGACTTGTTGTGATTTTTTTCTATGTGGGTATTCTTTCTTTTTTGGTTTTATTGACCAAAGAATGAGCCGGTTTTGAGTGAAAAGTTGAGGAGAGCGTGTGGACAGTGTTTTTTTGTTTGCAGCCGCTGAGAAGGAAGACCGGGACTTGTTGTGATTTTTTTCTATGTGGGTATTCTTTCTTTTTTGGTTTTATTGACCAAAGAATGGTCAGAAGTCGTTACTCCGTTTCTGTGTTCGTGTGATTGCCGCAGGACAGCCAGCCAGCCAGATGGGCAGACATAACACTGACAAGACCGGCAGACCGGCAGACAGATCATGTCTTTGGCCCCAAGGTCGTCACCTTAAGATTCACGGCTGACGATGGTGTTTGCCTCGCACGTGCGCGCCTTCTCTTCCCCTTATTTCTGTGTAACCGTTCCCCCGAACACGAGCAGCTCATGACGACGGAGGGCAACGCCTGGCTGTACAAGAACAAGGACCACGGGATGATGAGCGCCGCCGCGTCGCTCGGCACGATCCTGCTGTGGAACGTCGAGGAGGGCCTCATGCAGGCGCGTACAGCTAGGCGTTGCCGCAGCAAGCCGCCGAGGCGTTTTCGTTTCCCGAAGAGGGTTGTTGTGCATCTGTGCCCGTCAGCGTGTCCGGCACTCTTAACGAAAACCACCCCAATCCTCACTACTAGAAATTGCGCAACCGAAAGCAAAAAACAAAATACACACATTACGATGTACCTGGTACCATACATATTTCCACGTTGATAACGAACTATTGGATTAGCATTGAGTGTTCAGCCCGAAGAGCACGCAACATGTCACTATTTCCTTTCATCCCCTTATTTGTGCATGAAAGGAAGGAGTTACATATTTCGAATCCTTGGGGCTGGAGCACCCACTTCTCATCCAATAGTTCGCTATCAACGTGGGAATATATACAGTGTATTGTGAGACGGTTGTCTCCAGGTTCACTTGTGAGCAAGTTCCCTTTGCATGTGTGGTGTGAATACACACTGGTTCAACCTCTGGTGGAGAGGCTGACGAGTACGAATAGTTGTGTTGAGTGTTAGGTGGGGAGCAACCTTGTGTTGAAGCAAGGATAGTTGTGTTGAGTGTCAGGTGGGGAGCAACCTTGTGTTGAAGCAAGGTTCAGCGTCCATCCTACACTGACTCTATCTGTGGCAACACCCCGAAGAAGCTAGATCTCCGACAGGTCATCTGACGTCACAATCTACGACAGTCTGAGGTGGCATTCACAGTATCGTGTTTTTGGTTTTTGGTTGCGGAATGATTTGTGGTAAATAGTGAGGATTGCGGCGATTTTTTCTGGTAGTGCCGGAACGGCGACGGGTGCAGAACGTCAATATTATTATCATGGTACCGGATGGAGTGGAGTGTACCATGGTAAGTTGTATCGATCCACTGCGCTCAAATACTGTGCATGTTTTATGTTTGCGTTTTCATGTGTTCCTTGCTTCTCGTACAACTTGGTTCTTAATTCTTGTTGCTGGTACTTTTCTTCGTCTCTCGTTTTGTTTTGTTTTGTTTTGTTTTGTTTTGTTTTGTTTTGTTCCGGCAGGTGGCAGGCAGACTGGACGGGATAGAAGTTTCGGTCGCCTAACCCACACACATGCGCACACCCGCTCACACTCTGCCTATCATCTTCCTTGTCGTACCCCGACGCCCGACAGATCGACAAGTTCTTCCACTCAAACGAGGACTACATCAAGGCCGGGGCTGTGCTTGCCGTCGGTATCGTCAGCAGGTGGGATGGATGGGTGGGGCTCCGTATCTTTGCTCCCTTTTGCCCTCCCCTCCTGCAGCCTCGATTCCGTTGCTTGCCGTTCGTCTTTGCGGAGGCCTTGGTTTTGATCATGAACGGGGGTGATCGTTGATTGCGTTGCCGGTTCCTTGCGCATGACTAGATATAAGATACTCTGTGTGTACTCCCTGCAGGTCGTGTTTCTGTTGTTGTTTACTACGCCGTGTTTTTTCTACTCCCGCCGAAGCATCTAAGCCATGGTAGCATCTAAGCCACGCTCATCCGGTCCTTCTCTCTTTCGGTTGGCCCTTGGATAACAACAAATTGACAACAACAACAACAACAACGATAACACGACGACGGCTGCAGCGGGGTGCGCAACGAGAGCGACCCCGCCCTCGCCCTCCTCGCCGACCACGTCGAGTCGCCCTCCCACGCCATGCGGTGCGGCGCCTGCGTCGGCCTCGGCGTGGCCTACGCGGGGGCCCGGCGGGAGGACGTGGTGGAGCTGCTGACCCCCCTGGTGGCCAACACCGAGAACGCCAACATGGTGGAGGTACGCCGCCGCCCCCTCCCCCCGGTCTCGACCGATATTTCTGACGCGACACAATCCACCTTGTCGTGTTGGACGATGCAATGCCGAGATGTGTAGTTCGTTTTTTTGCGGCAAGGACACACGCACCTCCTGGTGTGTTTGTTACGACGGAACAGAGACGTTTCTCCGCAACCTGTTGGCCGGTTCCGGGGGGCCACTGATACCCCTCCCATCCCGTGCTACAAAACATATTTTGTATAGACTTCAAAACTACGTGATCGGTCCTGTGGCAACATTGCTCTGTCCTCTCGACGCGTGTCAAAGGTCTTAACAGCTAAGGCGCAAAACATGATGAGTGTAACCCTGCCCACCAAATCAACCATGGTCGTTTCATTTTCAGGTCGGGCTTGCCGCGCTGTCCCTGGGCATGATCTTTGTCGGGACGTGCAACGAGGAGGTGGGGTCGGTCCTGGTGCAGCGGCTTATGGAGAGCAGCGACACGGAGCTGGAGCAGCCCATGGCGAGGCTGGTCTCCCTGGGGCTCGGGCTGCTGTTAATGGGGAAGAACGAGCAGGCGGATGCCATGATGGAGGTATGGGTTCATGCATGATGTTGTATTGTATCGTGGAGGTTTTTGTTTTCGCATCCTCTCCTTGGTTGTGTCATGGCGTCTACGCGCCTCTCGTTGCTGCATGATTGGAGGTATGATCGGAGGTAGGTATGGATCCTTCTCTCTGCGGTCGTGTGACGGAGGTGCCCACGCATCCTGTCTTGCTTTGTGTGAAACAAGCGTCCAACCATTTTTCGCGCTTGTGATCGAGGTGTACGCAGCTATCTCTCTCTTCTGGTATGATGGACGTGTGTCTCTTGCTTGTGTCATGGAGGTGTCTCTATTTGCTTGTATGATGGTGTCAACACGCCCTCTGTGTTCTTGTATGATGGAGGTGTCTATGCTGCTCTTCTGCTTGTGTGATGGAAGTGTCTCGATTTGCTTGTATGATGGTGTCTGCACGTCCTCCCTCTACTTGTATGATGGTGGTGTCCACGCAAAGTGGAAGTTTCTATGCATCCTCTCTTGCTTGTGTCATGGAGGTGTCTCTATTTGCTTGTTTGTTGGTGGCTGCACGTCCTCTCCTCTCTTGTATGATGGAGGTGTCTGCGCATCTACATGTATCTCTCTTCGCTTGTGCGAATATCGGGTTGTCTTCACACCCCTGTCTTTGTGATGGTACATCAAAGAGAGGGTTTGACGACCAGCCCAATCGTCGCATCTGTCTCTCTATTCTTGCATGATGGAGGTGTCCGCGCATGACGGAGGTGTCTCTATTTGCTTGTACGATACCCTCTCCTCTCTTGTATGATGGAATGTGTCTAAGCATCTATCTCTTGTGACGATCCCTAGAGAGGCTGCGAAGGCAACCGGATCGTCACAGAGTCCAAGAGAGATAGACGCTTAAACACGTTCCATCATTCAAGAAAAGAGAGGTGCTCACACACCTGCGTCACACAAGCAACGAGAAATGCGTAGATACTTCCCATCACATACGTATATGGTGGAGTTATCTACT